ATTATAGTTTTTATTGCATGTACCGTACTTTCACCGGGTTATAAGCCGCACTGCCGGTTTTGGATCAAATTTTAGGATTTTCAGTGCGGCTTATAGTCGTGAAAGTACGGTACATGCAATAAAAACTATAATACTGTGATTTTCTTTGTTCATACAGTTAATTTAGTCCAACAATCAACACCAAGTGAAAAGGATAAATAGCCTTTGAAACAGATGGTCAGGTTGAAATGTTGGTGGCCAGAAGAATATAATAGCGCTATAGTTAGTTATCATTTTTACACACAACTGAGGTCTGCAGAACATCTGGTGATTAGGGAGGTGGCATGGTTCATATTCCAAATCTAGAAATTTTATAGGTAGAAATGTTTCAAAGTCTGTAGGTGCCTAACCTTTTCTTCCTTTGCTAAAAAGAGAAACTTGCCTCAAAACGTTATTTTCAAAATACAATTTTTCTTTGTGTGCATTTCAGGCGATGCAGGATAAGATCATATGCCTTCCCAAGAGAGTCCAGCCTTCTCCGAATATATCTCACCTTAATATGTCAGATATGGATTCCAGTGCAGCTCAGTTCCTTCCACCCAAGCCATCCACACCTCCTGCCACTGTTGAAATGAAGGGCTTAAAGACTGACTTAGACCTCCAGCAGTACAGCTTTATAAATCAAATGTGCTACGAGCGTGCCTTGCATTGGTACGCAAAGTACTTTCCATACCTTGTCCTTATACACACATTGATCTTCATGCTATGTAGCAACTTTTGGTTCAAGTTCCCAGGGTCCAGCTCAAAAATTGAACATTTCATTTCCATTCTGGGGAAATGTTTTGACTCTCCTTGGACCACAAGGGCTTTGTCAGAGGTTTCTGGAGAAGACTCTGAGGAGAAAGACAACAGGAAGAACAACATCAACCGGTCAAACACGGTCCAGCCTACCACAGAAGGCAATTTGGTCAGGACGCAGTCCTTAAAATCCGTATCTGAAAAATACATTGTGGATAAAGGAACTCCGGGGGCTTTGGATAAAAAAGAAGGAGAACAAGCTAAAGCGTTATTTGAGAAGGTGAAGAAATTCCGTCTCCATGTTGAGGAAGGTGACATACTATATGCTATGTATGTTCGCCAAACAGTGCTGAAAGTGATCAAGTTTCTCATTATTATTGCATATAACAGTGCACTTGTTTCAAAAGTTCAGTTTACAGTGGATTGCAATGTTGATATTCAAGACATGACAGGATATAAGCACTTTTCTTGCAATCATACAATGGCACATCTTTTTTCTAAACTCTCATTCTGCTACTTATGTTTTGTAAGTATTTATGGACTGACGTGCCTTTATACGTTGTACTGGCTCTTTTACCGCTCTCTGAAAGAATATTCGTTTGAGTACGTCCGGCAAGAGACTGGAATTGATGATATCCCAGATGTCAAGAATGACTTTGCTTTTATGCTCCACATGATAGATCAGTATGATCCTCTTTACTCGAAGAGATTTGCTGTATTTCTTTCAGAGGTCAGTGAAAACAAACTGAAGCAGCTGAATTTAAACAATGAATGGACTGCTGACAAACTCCGGCAAAGATTGCAAATGAATGCCAATAACCGTTTGGAATTGCAACTGTTTATGCTGTCTGGACTTCCTGATACAGTCTTCGAAATTACAGAGATTCAGTCCTTGAAACTTGAAATTATTAATAATGTCATGATACCGGCTACCATTGTGCAACTTGACAATCTCCAAGAGCTTTCCCTATACCAATGTTCTGCAAAGATCCACAGTGCAGCCTTGGCATTTCTAAAAGAAAACCTGAAAGTCTTGAATGTCAAGTTTGATGACTTCAGAGAACTTCCACCTTGGATGTACGGGCTCAGAAATTTAGAAGAATTAAACTTAATTGGTTCTTTATGCCACGACATTTCTAAAAATATAACTTTGGAGTCTTTTCGAGAGCTGAAGAACCTTAAAGTTCTGCTCATTAAAAGCAACCTGTCCAAAGTCCCACAGTCAGTAGTTGATGTTTCAAGTCACCTTCAAAAAATGTGCATTCATAATGATGGCACTAAACTAGTAATGCTCAACAACCTGAAAAAAATGGTCAACTTGACCGAATTAGAGTTGTTGCACTGTGATATGGAACGCATTCCTCATGCTGTTTTCAGCCTTAACGCTCTCCAGGAGCTGGATCTTAAGGAAAACAATCTGAAATCTATAGAGGAAATTGTTAGCTTTCAACACCTTAGAAAACTTACAATCCTTAAGTTATGGCACAACAGTATAACCTACATCCCTGAGCACATAAAGAAGCTCACCAGTCTAGAACGGCTTTCTTTTAGTCACAACAAGATAGAGGTTCTCCCATCCCACCTTTTCCTATGCAACAAAATTAGATATTTAGACTTATCTAACAATGACATACGATTCATCCCCCCTGAAATTGGGGTTCTACAAAGTTTACAGTATTTCTCCATTTCTTGCAACAAAATAGAGAGTGTGCCAGATGAGTTATACTTTTGCAAAAAAATCAAGACCCTGAAGATTGGGAAAAACAACTTGTCTATTCTTTCACCTAAAATTGGAAATCTAGTGTTGCTATCCTACTTGGACATTAAAGGAAATCACCTGGAGTTTCTTCCCCATGAACTTGGTGACTGCAGAGCTCTTAAAAAGGGTGGACTTGTGGTTGAAGACATCTTATTCGAAACTCTGCCTTTGGATGTTAGAGAACAGATGAAGGCTGAATAATATTCTCAGCACTCCGTGCAAACTTTCTGCCAAATGCCTTGTACATAACTAATATGCCTTCAAGTCTTTATCTTATTTTGATGTATTTTGACATTTTATATATGGATCATTTTGGAATATATGTATTACATGTAAACATTTATATTTATATAAGCTTTCTTCTTCTACCCCACCCACTTCCATGTTTACATTTCTTTTTTAAATTTCAGCCTTATATTGTATGTCTCTACTTTTTACTCTGTTTTGTTGAGATGAAATTGCTGACATCTGCCTTAAAAAAAATGCCCTAGCTCAAACAAAGATAATCATCTTTAAAAATAAATAATTTAGGTAACATATTTAAGTAGAATAATATATGGTTGCTGTAGCAACTGGGATTCTTTCTATTCTGCTTTTCAAAAATCATCTAAATGCTTTAAAACTGAAAAAAAAAAGTGTTCTTTATCTTGTTTTATTTCCTAGTTGCGGGTAATGGCTTTTGCAAGTCAGATTGCCCTGTCCTTAGGACTTGTTTATATCAAAACAGCAACCAATCATTGATAAAAGAGACGTCTTTGCTGGTGACTGTTCTGTGCTCCTCAAACTTATGCTGCTATTGCTGGCAATAGAACTTGTTCTTTAGAAGACTGAATTAAAATCGCACTTTAGCTAGGATTCAGTTTTATTTAAATTTCTTTTGAGTCTCTTGACTCCATCTTTAGTATTCTTAGTTATAATCAGAACATGAGTCTGGAGATTATGTTCTGACACTATGAATCTCTTTTTTTCATCTCTCCTTTTGTATGTTATCTCTGATTCCTAAATCTACATTAGTAAGTCTTTGCAAATTGCAACCAGATACAATTTTGCACGAAGTAGTTTCTATCATGAATCTTTCTTTCATGAATACCTTCATAATTATCTACAAAGAGAGGGAAGGATCAAATTTATGCTGTTTTAATAATAAGGGATTTCTCCTTCGTCCTGGTTTCCCACAAAGAATTATAGGAATTTAATGAGAGTGGGAGGGTTAAAAATTCTATTAATTATTTCCTCTGATTCTCACACTGTTAAGAAAGTACAGCATCTTGGATTCCTATGAAGTGACAAATGTGTGGTTTTGAAATATTTTGGACTTGATTTTCCATGAAAATGTAGCATGCAAATCAATTATGATAGTAAACAGTCAAGAAATAACGAAGTTCTAGTTTAAAAAAAACAACAACCTCATGCTTGGTTGCAGAGAAATAATTCAGTTCAGAAGGATTTATTTCCAGTATGTTACAAAGAAAATGTAAACAGAGCTCTATACTGTAGAGAATATTCCAGAAAGATGTCTACGTGTGGAAGAAGTCTTCCCTGAATGTAGTCATTACAGATGTAATTTGCACTTGAACATCTATCATCAAATGCTGGGTGGATTATTATTCGAGGTATGCAAGGTGTTCACAACTAATTGCTTGTGTGCAGTCAAGCATCATAGTGAGTCTTTAGTATATTGCAATGGGAAAGAAGAATAGACTCAGATTTATATACCTTGATCTCCTTTTCCATCATAGCCAAAAAGTTGTAAAAAACAAAGCCTGACACATCAAAAAAACCCAGCTAGAGGCTTTGGGCAGCGCATAAATAGATATCCTGGGTGGGTAGGAATGGAGGTCCAGGGTGAGGCACAGATTTAAGCCCTGGCTGTTATACAAATAGAGGCCATGTGCAGGAGATGAATGGAGACTGTGGCATGTGAAGAAGCCCCAGCTGAACTGGCACAAAATAACTCTCAGCCAATGTAGAAGTGGGGCATGGTGCAGCAGGCAGGGCTGTGTGATAGAAAAGATGGTGGCAGCAGATGAGGTTATAAAAAATTTTGTTCACTTGAGGGAACTACAACAGTTGAAACTTTTTGAGAAAAGGTCACAAATTGTTCAGAGCCGTTGTAACTTCAAATGGTTACTGAACAAATGAATATTAAGTATAGCTAAACTAAGTGTGGAGTGGACTTGATTCTACCTGCTTTGTCGTATCCCGTGGAGCCAATGACAAGGTTTCTGCTCCCGCTCTTTAACAAGCACCTTCACAAGGAATCTGACTTGAAAACAGTACACTCAAGTGTTTGCCGAGTGTCTAGATTTGTCTTTCTTGGTAGATTAACCAAACTAAGCATCCGGTCTAAGACAAAAAATGAAATCTTCATAAAACTAGGTATTTAGGGGAAAAAACAGCTTCCACATTATACGTGTTGCAATCTCATGTGCTCTTTTTCTTAAAAGGTGGGGGCCTCCAGGATCAGACCTGTCAACACCCATGTTCTTTTCCTAGGGCAGGAGTCCCCAAACTTGGCAACTTTTAAGACTTGTGGACTTCAACTCCCAGAATTCTCCAGCCAGCTATCCAGTCCACAAGTCTTAAAAGTTGCCAAGTTTGAAGACCTCTGTCCTAGGGTGATATTCAGTATACTCACCACCAGAGCAGGAGGACAGAAGGCCCTTCCATCGTTGTTCCCCTTCAATTGGTACTCAAGGCACATTGCTGATTTATTTTCTAATTTATCTGACCCCCTTATTGGTACCACTTGATTGTCAGTTCCATCAATTGTCTTAAAAAAAATACACACTGATACGTACATTCCAACTTTGTTGATTATGTATTTATGTTTGTTTGGCATGGCTCAATTCTGCACATGTTTATGTTGGAATCGGAACCACTGAATTATTCAAGCCTTCTTTGGGGTTCTTTAGGGCAGTGTTTTTCAACCTTGGCAACTTGAAGATGTCCGGACTTCAACTCCCAGAATTCCCCAGCCAGCATTCGCTGGCTGGGGAATTCTGGGAGTTGAAGTCTGGACATCTTCAAGTTGCCAAGGTTGAAAAACACTGCTTTAGGGTTACATCGCTCCGTTCAGAGATGATCTCATCATTGTAAAACAGAAACAACCTCCACCAACAGAAACTCTTTCTTAATCTTTCAGCAACAGTCTTGAAGAGGTTTTTCCTCCATTCAGAAGACTTGTCTATATTACAAGCAGTTCTCAGTTTTATAGTGGCTTAACTGTCATGAACGTTGAGAAATGATGTTTGCTAGAGACTCTGAAATGCAATTCTGTTAGAACTACAATTAATAGCCTAGAGCCTAGGTTATGCAGTGTTTCCTAGTGCTTTTTTGTATGAAGCTGGGAATCCCAGGCCTTGACGCTATTAAACAATAAACTTCTACTTAATGGAAAGCTACATTATTGTTAAGGCAAATCCTTATGCTAAGATGGGAAATGCAGACCGAAATGCAGACCCTGCCAACTGCATCTCACACTCTGATTTGTCTCTCATCTTCATTCTTTCCTTAAAAGTGTAAACAAGTCAAGGGTTGAAGTGAAACATCCCAAGCTAAAAGAGTCTTACAAGAAGTCCATTTTCCAGGACACGAAGAGGAGAAATGTTCTTTTCAGAGTCTTAAATCTACTCTATAAACCAAAGTGCTGATGTTGCTTATAAACAAACTATTTTAAGTTGTCAGTACAACTGGTGACTTCCTGTAGAGATCTATTGTAGAACTGAAGTCTTGTCTTACACTCAAGAGCAGAACTGATACAGCCTAACCTTATAATCTGGTGAAGGTCTACTTTTGCTGCAAGGGCATACTACAAGGGGTGGTTTATCACCTATATGTGGAGGGTGCTATTTCTGTAATTGCACAAGACAGAACATCTGCTGAAAGGATGTCGTATGCACTATTCCTATCCAGAGTAATAAGATGAAAGGGCACACGTATATCTACGCATATCCGTAATTGCAATTTCTTTCATGCTTACAATATTATATATTACTGATCAGAGATTGTAAACTTTGGGCATTTATGCTGGGATATGTTTTCTATACAGGTAGTCCTTGATTTACAACAATTCATTTAGTGACCAAAGTTACCATGGCACTGAAAATAGTGGCTGTTTTCCCCATTTATGACCGTTGCAGCATCTCCATGGTCAAGGGATCAACTTTTAGTTTAGCTTGGCAACTGACTCATATTTATGACATCTGCAGTGCCCCAGGGTCATGTGATCACCTTCTGCGACCTTCTGACAAGCAAAGTCAATGGGGAAGCCAGATTCACTTAACAACCGTTTTACTAATTTAACTCCTGCAGTGATTCACTTAACAACTGTGGCAAGAGAGATCGTAAAATGGGGCAAAACTCACTTAAGTGTCTCACTTTACAATAGAAATTTTGGGCTCAATTGTGGTTGTAAGTTGAGGACTACCAGTATTTGTAGGGTGAGGGCCAGAAGAGGTTTGTATCTTATGATTCATTGTGCATATAGAATATACTGTATACCAGTGGAAGGTTGTTGCTGGCGTTATTGCCGGTTTGCTGTGTGTGTGTGTGTGTGTGCACAGTTGCCTATAAGACCTCTAAGGTCCCTTCCAACTCTGCTATTGTATTAAATTGTTCTGCACATGCGCAGAACATTAAAAAATTGACAAAAAAACATGCAGGCAATGGCATGGGGAACCAGGAAACCGGTTCGGGGGCGTGGCAAGCCTGCCATCCCTACCCAGTCACAGTTTCCACAACCGGTTCCCCCAAATCGGTGAGAACCGATAGCAACCCATCTCTTTACATGAATTGCCCATAAGATCTACTTTCCCCAGAGAAATACTTCAAAAAGGCTGCAGGATCTTGGCTGCTTTCTCTGGAGAAATGTCACAATCTCCGTAAGGGTTCCTTCAAAACAAGTAATCAAAGGAGCGCATGCTTGTTTAAAACAATCCTCTTGATGTATTTAAAGCCTTTGTCATTTCTAAAGCTGTATTGCATATTGCAAGCAATTTTTTTAAATTCAAATAGCAAGTGCCTTTAAGTAAGGTTTTTTTTAAAAAAAATCTGTAATATTTTAAATGTATAATTTTTAACAGTGATGCGTAATATTCATGAAATAAGCTTAAGGAAATTGACTACTGAACTTCAGTTTAGAATTATTTTTGTGCAAAGTCATATTATCTAAATATACTTTAAAAAAACATGCTTGCTCAAAAGTGGTAACTTTTCCAAATGCTACCCATGTCAGCAAATGATATCAATGAAGAAGTCACTATCATATTACATATATCTGCATATAATCAACTATTTAAACAATACAGCAAATTTTGTCCATTTAGTCTGAATCAGTTTTTCTTCCTATTATTCAGCAGTATTAGAATTGGTTCAGCATGATAGTAATTATGCTAGGTCTTACCTTAATGCATAGGAACACAATCTGGAATTCATTACTGGTGGTCAGGATGTTGTCAGTCCTATCAGATTCTTCCTTTTTCTACTTCCTAATTAAATATAACTGCAATTTTTATAACAAGAGTTCCATATTATGAGAATAAATAACTGAGATCTAACTGAAATAGAATAGAAAGATAATGCAAAGATATTAAGGTGTAATTGAGTAGTAACATGATGCCACTGGTATCTTATCTTCTGAAAGGTGGAGAAAAACTTTCCTAACTTAGTACCCTCCAAACCTGTTTCATTACAGCTCTTGTCAATCCCAACTGTTGTTTGCTTCTTCATCTCAATAGTCTTGAC